AGAGAGAGAGAGAGAGAGAGAGAGAGAGAGAGAGAGAGAGAGAGAGAGAGAGAGAGAGAGAGAGAGAGAGGAATGAAGGAAGGAAGGAAGGGGATGGTGTAATTTTCTTTGTTTTTAGAGCTATTTGTTATTGGTGTTAGTAGACCATTGAAACCACTGCAACAGGATGATGCATGACACAGAATTAGGATGTGTATGAAGTACCCATTTATTAAAGAATGCAAGCTGACAGTTTGGTACAGAGCACTGCCAATTTCTTGTGTTGTCTCTGTTTATTAGCTTAACAAGGATTATAGCACAAAAGCTGTTGTGATGGTTTCCTTTTTTCCCCCTTCATTGCAGTCACCAAACATCAAACAAAAGTTATTGCATTCTATTTTGTGACTTACTCAAATGGGAAATTAAAAGTTAATGAAGTGGTTAAGAAAGCTTGTGTGCTTTGCACCATATGTAAAGAATTATGGGACAGCATTGTCTACCAGCCGACATTAACAATCCATCATCACACATTCTGAACTTCTAAAACTCATGTGGACACAGAAACAAAACCTCTAAAAGTTCACTATTTAGTCATAATTAAACTTTAGCTTGGTTCAACAACACATTTTACACCATTGGCGCTTTTGAACTAAACCTTTGTGAGTCCCATCATGTTGTCACAAGTACTTATTGTATGTCTTCCTTTTGCACCACTAAGGGAAMATTGGGATTGAACAACACTTGACTGATGATCAACACAACCATAACCTTTACACATGTGACATTCACCACTAACAACAATGAAAGACTGCATTTATTTGAAATGTTTTAAAGCGGAAATTAAAAGAGGTCTACTAAACATTCAGAAGCAGTTCTAGGAGTGAAATACTYATCAGTGTAGTTTGTGCTGCATCTAAAGGAAATTATGTCATASCAGACAGTGACAGTTAAGCAGCTTCTACTTTAGCATTGTATTTGTTGATTTATAGTAAGGGGCCTTGAAGAGCATTACATTTTCCCGTCTAATAGATGTACACTTAAAAACAAACTAACCGTACCACCTTAAATCACTTAAGTCACTGCTGAGTTAAGAGATGCCCCACTCTGAAGCAGGAGCTAAAAGACCAGATAACCCCAATTATAAAGACCATGAACTGCCACAAGCAATGTAAAGAGAAAACAAAACGAACAGAAAGACAAACAAAAAACTACATCAATGGATTATAAGGAATGTAACGAGGTCTTCTGCTGACCAACAGCCCTTWTTTTGTTTCTCATTCAACTAGTCGCACACAGAGCATTTGTTTTCTCCATCATGCACACATGACCATACTTCAGTAACAACTTGAGGTTTGCCTACGGGCACTTTTTGACACATTATGTCTAATCTTACATGACATAGGAAGATGTGTTGTGCATTGGCATTTCTGGAAAATATACAGAGTCTGGATGATGTGTAAAAACAGTTTCAGACTTTTTACCAGAGTCTGAGAAGCCCCTCTTGGCTTCTGACTGAGCAAAGCCCAACTTGCGCACAGACAAACCAGTAAGAGGCAAGGTTAAAGGATGGAATCTGTAGTGTCTTCACTGTCCTGATGCCCAAACAAAACAAGCAAACAAAAATACTCGATTACGATTGATTGATATTGTTGTTGGGACACCACAACTGTTAGAGAACATTCATACCACTAAAGGCTGTCAACGAACCGCTATATAGAAAGACAGTAAAATATTTATTCATTTATTTAATATTTTTAGGATTGCAGCAGGCAAAACATACCGTCCCTGATATTATTAACATTTTTTTTTATTTATCTTTACGTTTATGAATACAGGGATGTGGCTTAAGTGACTTTGGCTTTCATCTTGATCCAGAATAGAAAAACAAAACAACAAACATACATCAGTGTTAATAGTGTTAGACAGCTGGAGTGACCTAACCTTGGAATTGAATTTAACGTCAGTGCCATACATTTACGTACTGGTGTAATTCAATTAAAAAATATGACATTGTAATTTACATCTAATAGCTTATGGTTTCTAGTTTTCCCTACAGGCACCCTGAAGCTACACTCTTTATTATCCAGTGCCTAAATTAGGGATTAAGTTTGCACAAAAGTGTTTGATCTTTGGTTTTATTATAAAAGCTCTCAATGGGCCTTTTACTGTTAAACTGTAGCCTGAAAACAGAAGGTTTAGTCAACGATGTAGAACAATAATTACCACTGAAAAATTAAGACAGAGCTCTAGTGTAAATTTTACTCACCTAAACACTCAGATTTGTCTTGATGTATGGCAGAGCTGACGCTCAAAGTCAAAAGGGGCTGCCAAAAATCAAATTCCCTCTTTGCTGCTCTAACTTCTGTGTGTTTCTGAGTTCAGCTGAGCTTCCTTCATCCCTCTTATAACATCTTTTCCACTGCCAGTCTGTGTGTCAGCAGCCTTTCATCTCCTGTTTCTCTATTTTACCTCCTGACTTGCTTCACTCTTGCATTACCTTTTTTTCCCACCGTAACTGACATCTTGCATTGAACAGCTTTCAAAAATTTGCTAATGCTTTCTACAGACATTTCACTTTATTGTGTCTGTGTGGAAAACTGTTTTCCATTGGGCTTGCTTATAAAAGCTAGAATTCAAGTTGACTGTTAGAGCCTGTGTGCACCTTCTCAGCTGATTCCATGGCATGGATCCAAATGCAACTTCACCTTAAGCTAAATGTAATTATGTCTATGTGAGTAAATAACRTGCAGCTTTCCTTGACCTGTGTTGTAAAGGTGGAGCAGAGTCTGCATATTCATTATGTTGCATCAGATGTATTCTAAGTGAAAAAAAAGAAGACGTAACTGCTATTTTTTTTATCCACATTGAATTTAAACTTGTTAAAGCTACTCTTTATGACTCCTTTTTCCATTTCCTGCAAGTTGATTTTGCTTGAATTAACTGCACAKTGAGAGGCTACTATATATCAGAAATTATCCAATTAATTTTAATCTTCTAGCTGAGGTCTAGAAATTGGCTGAAAGAACAAAGTAAATTCATTATTTCAGCTCTATCCAAAGCTATTCACCTTTGTTTAGCTTTTATACTGTTGGCTTTACACTCTGCTGGTTTCTCACTTACCTAATTTATCTCATTCTCACACACTGTCCCACCTGGGATTCTTCACCTATTTCACTTTTTATTTCTTCCTCCTCCAAATTTTCATCCAAGATACCTCTGTCTCTGAGGACTTTCTTTCCATATTGAGTCCCGGTTTTTGTCAGCATTATACATATACAAATATACATGTTAATATCAAATGTTAAGAGGAGCAGAAAAGYACAAACATAGTAACACAGACAGGTCCCCAGAACCAGTTAAAAAACATGTTCTTGGCAAATGATTATTTAGCACGGTGGTGAGTTAACACATCACTCACCTCAGAGGATAAATGTAAATTTTAGACATAAAAAATAAAGTGTTGTTTATACAGGAGAGATGCAATGCAAGTCAGTGAGACAGAAAAAAAAAAAGAAAAAAAATGCTGCAAGAAAATGTGGGAAAAAAGCTAAAGAAAATGAATAAAAAAGCCAAGACAACTGACCAGAACGACTTGCAAAAATAGTAATATCTATCTATCTATCTATCACCTACCTACCTACCTACCTACCTACCTACCTACCTACCTACCTA